CATAATTACGCCCGTCACCGCCCACCACATAATTTCTTTAGTGTAAAGAAAATTTCAGCATTCTTTACTACGCACCTCATCGGCACGTACTCAGCACGAACAAGACCGACACTTCTTCGCCCGTTATTGCTAACGATGTTTCGCCACCTTGGCTCGTCACTATCACCAAACCACACATTCCTAGACTTGACCGAGCCAGCCTATGGTTCGGTTCTTGCCCCGAACCTCGATGCGAGCGTCGCACTAGCCAGCTCGTGCGCAGCTCATGCATTCGCTCACATTTGTACTCGTTTGCTTCCTTAGTGCAATGTTCACTTCGCTCTTTCAGTTGCACAATTGGCCTTATATGCAAGTATAGAGCATTAAATCAAAATTAGTTAATGTGTGAAACCTGGCTAATAACTACTATTTACAATCTCCAGCTGTTGCCATGTTTTGCAGCCATTTGATTGGATGTCAAGATGTCGTGCGATATTATATTCGCGGCAACGGTGCTTCCATATCGGTGGCGCGCAATTCTAGAATCTCACACGTGCGCCAGTCAAGAGACAATTCTCGTAATCCACCTCCCAACCAACCCCTGACTTCCCTCCCATGCTGTCCAGAGTGGCATTTGCTCTCACGACGTCACTCGATGGCGATTCTGCTGACGCGTTCTTGACGGATCCATGGTTTCTTGACAGCCAAGATAGCTGAAGGGGTGGTCCAGTTCCTCAACAACTTCGATTTCGTGGCAGTGTGGTGTGCATTGCAGAACACCCGTTGAGAATACAGTATACCAGCGCGAAGAAAAAAGTCATCGCTCATAGACACAGTAGAATTCTTCACAACATGATCGCCGGCCAAACTAGCAAACAGCCGGCAGCGCTCCCCATAAATAAAGCGCATGTCAAGTGTAGCCAGCACACCGTGTTTTTTTGAAGGACATATTTTGTTCGCGACATTAGAGGACCTACCCTTAAAAAACTTTCAAGCCTCAGTCGTGGCGACTCGCTGACGTGCCGCCGGCGTTTTGTCGTAAACCAACGGGCTCCGCTCTAATCTCTCGTTCCAACAACTTCTGCTTATTCCACTCTCTGCTCTCGTTCCTGCGACTACTTATTCCACTCTCCGTAAGTGGAGGTCATTCTTCTATCAGAAACCTCCAGCAGTCTTTCATTTACAGTGCTCTTCGAGTTTACAAGCAAGCCTCATTTCTTCCCATACTTCATCAGCGGCGCTGCATTCCTCGTACTCTATGAGCGGCTATGGCTCAAAGTTTGACGGGCTCGGAATTCAAGTCTCACGTTCTGGAAAGCGAGCGTCCAGCCCTGGTCTGCATCTCCGCGGCATGGTCGAGCCCTTGCAGAAGAATGCTCCAAATCTACGAGAACATCGCCGAGAAGAACTCGGAAAAGTTCACATTTTACAAGCTGGACAGCGACGCGAACCCTCAGACGAACCAGGAGTGTGGGATTTTCAGCTTGCCGGCGTTCTTGGTGTTCAAAGAGGGGCAGAAAGTTGGCGAGTTGGTTGGTATCACACGTCCGAATGCCCTTGAACAATTCGTCGAGAGAATCTCTCTCGCCGTGTGAAACATCGCGTGGACTATCATGCTCGTTGCATGCCAATTTTGTGAAATCGTATGAGACATCTTGTGCTTCTTTCATGCTCGCTGCATGCCAATTTTGCGACGGTATCGCGATAAAGCCCGAAACCCGCCACCCAATCGGCCGCGAGATCACACACCTCTCTCACCAAAACTGCCTACCCCCCTCGCCCCCCCCCCCCCTCCCCTCACGTCAATCTCCTTTGCTTCCCGCTTTCCTCTCTCTCCCATCGCTCCCGCCGCTCCATCTTGTTGTTCTCGCCGCCGTCGCTCCCTCGCCGGCGCTCCCTTCGCATCCCCGGTGCTCCCCGCTTCCGTCGCTCGCGCCGCCCGTCGCTTTCTTACTCGCTCCCTCTCCGCTCGCTCCCATCGCTACTGTCGCCCTGCCTCTATAGTCGCTCCTATCTCTCCTGTCACTCTCTCGCCCCCTCGTTCCTTCGCTGCCTTTGTTTGCCCTGCTCCACCGTCGCTTTGCGGAAGCGAGGAAGCGACGGGCCGTCGCCTTTCTCTTCCCTCGTCCTCCCCGTTGCTTCTGTCACTTCCATCGTTCCCCCGTTACGTTAAAGTTTTCTCTCCCATCCTAACTCTGTTGAATAATTTCCCTAAGTATTGATGTGACCTGGTTCTTCGAAATAGGATGACAAACTTGAATGACACTCGACTAGACAAACTTGAAAAAACATGTCCACTCACACACACCACCACCACCAAACTTGCGGTGAAAGAGTTGCAAGGGTGGATTGGCAAACAAGGCTGGCGAGGCGACGCGGCGTTCGAGAAGGGAGTTGAGATTTCCTTTTTCCGCTGACGAAATCTGTTACTGGTGGACTAGCGACCGCACGACATATTACATGACATGGTTGGAAGGCGAGCGAAGTCAGGACAGGTTGGCGCATTGCCAAGGGGGATGGTCGAATTAGCAGCGGGACCGTGAGCCCCCGCGAACCGACGCAGCGTCGAACCTCGCACGTAGGTACGTTGTAACACCTTCGTTCGCACGACGCACTTTTGAATGGCCCAACGTGCCATGAAATGTCGGTAGAGTTGTGCTGCATGATTCTTGATGGCACACCGTCACAACGAAGCCCCTGCCTCGCGTTTCGTGACACCAACAACAGAAACACCTGGCGAATATACCTGGGTTACAGGAGTTCGCAACAATAGAAGCGCGAACCAAATGCAGTTGCAATGAACTGGCCCTCCCTGGCTCTCACTTCCTTTCCCCTGCCGAGCCTTCTTCTCCCGTCCCTCCCACAAAATCTCGCGGACGTGCGACTGCATGCGAACGCATTTTTGCCTGCACGAATCCTTCTGCGAGTCTCTCTGTGTGCTAGGCGCACCATGAGTATCTGTTTTCGCAGAATGGAAACTGCCACCTCGCATATGTTTTCGCCTCCGTTTTCGCTCTCGCATCCTGACTCTTGGGGCGCCAATGCATTCGCGACAGTCACAATGAGAACTTCCCTCGGCATCATTTTGAACCACTTCGAATGTTCACCAAGCTTCAGCGTGGTTGTCGGCTCTCTCGCTGCATCTCTTCCAGCTGCAACTCCGCTGTAACGCCTTTGGGCTTACATGAAGGGGCATACGCTGCACCTCTAATGTAATCCCCAGTTCGACCCAATGGTAGCGGGGCGTTATATCCGCTATGCACGGAGCCCGTCTTTTATCAGTCTCAAACTCATTCTAAGGCCAAGTGGCTTCACTCACTTCCGAAGCTTCACTCGTTAATAGCTTCCTTCACTTCCATACTCCGTTAGCAGATTCCTCGGCGACAATGGTCACCAAGTTGACGGATTCGAATTTCGGTATCGTTTACGAGAGTAAGCTTCCAGCGGTAGTCTTCTTCTCTAGTAAATCGGACGTCGCATGCGTGAAGCTGCTTTCTATGTTCGAAAACCTTGCAGAGGAGCACACGCATCTAGCCTTCTTCAACCTGGATATTGACGAGAACCCTAAGAATAGCGCGGAGTACTTTATCCGCGAGCCGGCTTTCTTATTATTCGACGGGTGGCAGAATGTTGGCAAGTTTGTCAGTATGGATGATATGGCGGGTCTGAGGCATTTCATAACGCACCGCTTCCGCGTGAAGTGATGTGTACTCTCGTGTCTCGTCCATTGAATGCCATGGAATTCACTCACATTCAGGTTCATTGCTGGTTGTTGAAATTCAGCATCTACGGTACGCCAGCCAAGCCAACCCAAGGCAATCAAAAATCCAGACGGCCGATGTGTGTGAGGCGTACAAGGAGGCAAAAAAACAATGAAGAGTGGCGTGGGCTGCTGTGAGGAGGGCGAGAGAACTCAACCTAAGAACACTTACATTTTGCTCAACTATTGCATGATTCAGTTTCACTAGAATCTTTTGACCTTAGACATTTCAATAATTCAAAAACTCGTCCAGCAAAATTGATTTGCCTGGACACTTTCCAGCTTTCCTTTTCCCCTTCTCCCTTTTTCAGCACAGATGAGTAGCTTGTTTTATTGTTTCACTACCCGACATGCAACACACAGTGACATGCAAAAGGGCATACCGTGATTATAATCATGTGCAGGTGGGATTACATGGGTGTTTGCAGTCAACAAGGGTGACACTATCCCTGTCAAAGAACCAGTCTCCCACTGCCTCTGCCATGGTCTGTGAGAGGACAAGAAGGAAAGCAGAGAGGGGGAGAATGATGATCATGTGCAGGTGGGTGGGATTACAGGGGCGGTTACAGTTAGCAAGGGGGATATGGTGCCTGTCAAAGAGCCAGTCTCCCACTGCCTCTGCCATGGTCTGTGGGGGGATAAACAGGAGTGAAGAGTGGAAAGAATTACATGGTAATATTTGAAAACGTAATTTCCAGAAAATACACGGGAAAAACGTGTGCGGAAGAGCATACCTTGTTGTGTATTCTAAGAAACGCACTCCGCCGCTCACCTGTCCGTCACTGACACGGGTGGGCAAGAGCATACCTTATTGTGTATTCTTGGGGCAGTGCTGCCATGCCACATGGGACCCATCGCCTGTTACATGGATCACAGGGGACGGATGATGGGAAACAAGAAGCGCTTTTAAGAATTCTCAGAAGGAACACATGGGAGCGTGGGGGGTGCGATGGATTTGCGGTGCTGCCATGCCACATGGGACTGATAACCTGTAACATGAATCACAACAGAAGATGGATGATGGGAAACAAGAAGCACTTTTGAGAATCCTCAGAAGGAACACATGGGAGCGTGGGGGGTGAGATGGATTTGCGGTGCTGCCATGCCACATGGGACTGATAACCTGTAACATGAATCACAACAGAAGATGGATGATGGGAAACAAGAAGCACTTTAAAATTCTCCAAGGGAACACATGGGAGCATGGGGGGTGCGATGGATTTGCGGTGCTGCCATGCCATGCCAGATGCACATGGGGCCCATGGCCTGTAACATGGGAGAATGCGGGGACAGGATGGACTGGCACTGCTGCCATGCCACATGGGAGAATGCGGGGACAGGATGGACTGGCACTGCTGCCATGCCACATGGGAGAATGCGGGGACAGGATGGACTGGCACTGCTGCCATGCCACATGGGAGAATGCGGGGACAGGATGGACTGGCACTGCTGCCATGCCACATGGGAGAATGCGGGGACAGGATGGACTGGCACTGCTGCCATGCCACATGGGAGAATGCGGGGACAGGATGGACTGGCACTGCTGCCATGCCACATGGGAGAATGCGGGGACAGGATGGACTGGCACTGCTGCCATGCCACATGGGAGAATGCGGGGACAGGATGGACTGGCACTGCTGCCATGCCACATGGGAGAATGCGGGGACAGGATGGACTGGCACTGCTGCCATGCCACATGGGAGAATGCGGGGACAGGATGGACTGGCACTGCTGCCATGCCACATGGGAGAATGCGGGGACAGGATGGACTGGCACTGCTGCCATGCCACATGGGAGAATGCGGGGACAGGATGGACTGGCACTGCTGCCATGCCACATGGGAGAATGCGGGGACAGGATGGACTGGCACTGCTGCCATGCCACATGGGAGAATGCGGGGACAGGATGGACTGGCACTGCTGCCATGCCACATGGGAGAATGCGGGGACAGGATGGACTGGCACTGCTGCCATGCCACATGGGAGAATGCGGGGACAGGATGGACTGGCACTGCTGCCATGCCACATGGGAGAATGCGGGGACAGGATGGACTGGCACTGCTGCCATGCCACATGGGAGAATGCGGGGACAGGATGGACTGGCACTGCTGCCATGCCACATGGGAGAATGCGGGGACAGGATGGACTGGCACTGCTGCCATGCCACATGGGAGAATGCGGGGACAGGATGGACTGGCACTGCTGCCATGCCACATGGGAGAATGCGGGGACAGGATGGACTGGCACTGCTGCCATGCCACATGGGAGAATGCGGGGACAGGATGGACTGGCACTGCTGCCATGCCACATGGGAGAATGCGGGGACAGGATGGACTGGCACTGCTGCCATGCCACATGGGAGAATGCGGGGACAGGATGGACTGGCACTGCTGCCATGCCACATGGGAGAATGCGGGGACAGGATGGACTGGCACTGCTGCCATGCCACATGGGAGAATGCGGGGACAGGATGGACTGGCACTGCTGCCATGCCACATGGGAGAATGCGGGGACAGGATGGACTGGCACTGCTGCCATGCCACATGGGAGAATGCGGGGACAGGATGGACTGGCACTGCTGCCATGCCACATGGGAGAATGCGGGGACAGGATGGACTGGCACTGCTGCCATGCCACATGGGAGAATGCGGGGACAGGATGGACTGGCACTGCTGCCATGCCACATGGGAGAATGCGGGGACAGGATGGACTGGCACTGCTGCCATGCCACATGGGAGAATGCGGGGACAGGATGGACTGGCACTGCTGCCATGCCACATGGGAGAATGCGGGGACAGGATGGACTGGCACTGCTGCCATGCCACATGGGAGAATGCGGGGACAGGATGGACTGGCACTGCTGCCATGCCACATGGGAGAATGCGGGGACAGGATGGACTGGCACTGCTGCCATGCCACATGGGAGAATGCGGGGACAGGATGGACTGGCACTGCTGCCATGCCACATGGGAGAATGCGGGGACAGGATGGACTGGCACTGCTGCCATGCCACATGGGAGAATGCGGGGACAGGATGGACTGGCACTGCTGCCATGCCACATGGGAGAATGCGGGGACAGGATGGACTGGCACTGCTGCCATGCCACATGGGAGAATGCGGGGACAGGATGGACTGGCACTGCTGCCATGCCACATGGGAGAATGCGGGGACAGGATGGACTGGCACTGCTGCCATGCCACATGGGAGAATGCGGGGACAGGATGGACTGGCACTGCTGCCATGCCACATGGGAGAATGCGGGGACAGGATGGACTGGCACTGCTGCCATGCCACATGGGAGAATGCGGGGACAGGATGGACTGGCACTGCTGCCATGCCACATGGGAGAATGCGGGGACAGGATGGACTGGCACTGCTGCCATGCCACATGGGAGAATGCGGGGACAGGATGGACTGGCACTGCTGCCATGCCACATGGGAGAATGCGGGGACAGGATGGACTGGCACTGCTGCCATGCCACATGGGAGAATGCGGGGACAGGATGGACTGGCACTGCTGCCATGCCACATGGGAGAATGCGGGGACAGGATGGACTGGCACTGCTGCCATGCCACATGGGAGAATGCGGGGACAGGATGGACTGGCACTGCTGCCATGCCACATGGGAGAATGCGGGGACAGGATGGACTGGCACTGCTGCCATGCCACATGGGAGAATGCGGGGACAGGATGGACTGGCACTGCTGCCATGCCACATGGGAGAATGCGGGGACAGGATGGACTGGCACTGCTGCCATGCCACATGGGAGAATGCGGGGACAGGATGGACTGGCACTGCTGCCATGCCACATGGGAGAATGCGGGGACAGGATGGACTGGCACTGCTGCCATGCCACATGGGAGAATGCGGGGACAGGATGGACTGGCACTGCTGCCATGCCACATGGGAGAATGCGGGGACAGGATGGACTGGCACTGCTGCCATGCCACATGGGAGAATGCGGGGACAGGATGGACTGGCACTGCTGCCATGCCACATGGGAGAATGCGGGGACAGGATGGACTGGCACTGCTGCCATGCCACATGGGAGAATGCGGGGACAGGATGGACTGGCACTGCTGCCATGCCACATGGGAGAATGCGGGGACAGGATGGACTGGCACTGCTGCCATGCCACATGGGAGAATGCGGGGACAGGATGGACTGGCACTGCTGCCATGCCACATGGGAGAATGCGGGGACAGGATGGACTGGCACTGCTGCCATGCCACATGGGAGAATGCGGGGACAGGATGGACTGGCACTGCTGCCATGCCACATGGGAGAATGCGGGGACAGGATGGACTGGCACTGCTGCCATGCCACATGGGAGAATGCGGGGACAGGATGGACTGGCACTGCTGCCATGCCACATGGGAGAATGCGGGGACAGGATGGACTGGCACTGCTGCCATGCCACATGGGAGAATGCGGGGACAGGATGGACTGGCACTGCTGCCATGCCACATGGGAGAATGCGGGGACAGGATGGACTGGCACTGCTGCCATGCCACATGGGAGAATGCGGGGACAGGATGGACTGGCACTGCTGCCATGCCACATGGGAGAATGCGGGGACAGGATGGACTGGCACTGCTGCCATGCCACATGGGAGAATGCGGGGACAGGATGGACTGGCACTGCTGCCATGCCACATGGGAGAATGCGGGGACAGGATGGACTGGCACTGCTGCCATGCCACATGGGAGAATGCGGGGACAGGATGGACTGGCACTGCTGCCATGCCACATGGGAGAATGCGGGGACAGGATGGACTGGCACTGCTGCCATGCCATACCATGCCATGCCATACCATGCCATGCCATACCATGCCATGCCATGCCATACCATGCCATGCCATGCCATGCCTCGCTCCTCACCATGCAGTGTGCTCGGCAGGACACAAGGTATGCTCCATTCGCTGCGGTTCCGCTCGATGCTACAGCCAATCGCCGCCGAACAGGCGGCGCGCTGTGATTGGACGAGAGGAGGGGTGACACCTTGGCAACCATCTCATCCCGATCGGCTGTTGTGATTAGAGAAGAGGGGGGCGGGAAAGAGGGGTTGCCAAAAGGACCTTCTGAGTCAACTCAAAAGTCATACGGGGTTGTCATGAGTCAGAGATGGGGGAATGCGGGAGAGAGCGCGAGAGAAAGAGTTGTCTTACCATATAGCATCTGATGTCAAGCCTTACCACTTAACTATGCCTTACCAACCGAGGATCTTTTGAGTCGACTCAAAAGTATACTCTGCTGCTTTGTGTATCCGCACACAACACAAGGAAGGAACCCACCACTCACTGTGCCTCACCATGGATCTTACCGAGTAGCTCCTTCCCTATTGCCGCCCTGCAGCGACGTATGGCACGCGTGCCACGCATCTCATTTCAAGCCTGCTAATTCGCTGTGCCTAACCATGAATCTTCAGTTAATGAACCCCTCAATCACTCTGCCTCACCATGGATCTTATCGAGTCGCTCCTTATCGCATCCCTGCAGCGACATGTGGCACGCGTGCCATTCCTCTTCCAGGAAGAGTGTGAAGGACGCAAACGAGTGGGCGATCTGCGGATGGGCAAAGGGAGTGGAGAACAGGAGGTGGGAGGAGCCTCTCCTTATCGCATCCCTGCAGCGACATGTGGCACGCGTGCCATTCCTCTTCCCGCCAGGAGTCGTAAAGGGAATTGAGGATGAAGAAGGGCGTGCTGTGCGGAGTAAGGAAGGGGAGGGCGTGGAATCGAAATGCAAGAGAAAAGAGCAAGCCTTACCTGCCAGGAGTCGTAGAGCGAGTTGAGAATGAAGAAGGGCGTGTGGAGGAAAATGGGTTAAGGCTGCAGAGACAATGGAAAGCGAATGAAACGTGCCATGTCACCGAAAGACTCTTACCTGCCAGGAGTCGTAGAGCGAGTTGAGAATGAAGAAGGGCGTGCGGAGTAAGGAAGGCGAGGACGTGAAATATAAATGCAAGAGAAAAGAGCAAGACTTACCTGCCAGGAGTCGTAGAGCGAGTTGAGAATGAAGAAGGGTGTGTGGAGGAAGGGGAGGAAGTGTTCTGGAAAGAAGCACTGCCAGCTGTCGTTGGGTGGGCGTGAGGCGAGGCAGTGGGGGTTGAGAGTGACGTTCTGTTGGGAGGGAGGGAGAGAGGAGAGGGAAGGAGATGAAGAGGAGAGGGATGAGTGGAGGGCCATGAGAGGGATTCTGAGCGGATTGGGATTACCATGTGATAGAGATTGCATTTTGAGATGTCTCAAAACACAGCTTTCTTAGGAGTGAAGGGCAGGGATTATGAGCGGATTGGGTTGACAAAGACTTAGCAAAGGGGAGACAGAACCTGGTAGTGCTTACAGGTAATGTGGTAACCAGAGGAGCTAACATATAACATGGGAACGAAAGAATCCACTCACGAGAAGCATGCGAACAAGTAGAACCAGCTCACATGTATGCCAGAATCAGAGGAGTTCACATGTAACCTGGTAACCAGAAGGGAGTACATGTATTGCAACTACCAGAGCTCAGGTGTAACACGGTAAGTAACCAGAAGAGGTAACATGCAACGTGGCAACCAGGAAGTGAATTGCATTGAGAATACTCATGTGACCTCTTCTGAAGAAGTTTCAGGGTGCTTTTGAGACAACTTTTGAGACAACTTTTGAGGCGTCTCAAAGGCCCTAAAGTGGTTGCAGTGCAATCAAGGTGCTTTTGAGAATTCTCGCAAACACCCTGCAACGCACATGTAACAGAGCAAGCTCACTAAGTTGGGAATATTGGCGACTAACCGGAGGTGTTCCTCAGAAAGTGTGTGCCGCCAACCAACATCCCTCGCATCTAGAAAGTAACCCCCATCTGACATGGCATGCACTTCACCACCACCTCTTCCTCGAGTGCAACACAATGAACCGGGCAACACACTTACCACAGAAAGCTCACATGGAACAACAAGGTAAGTGGCTGGGAAAGTGGGCAAAACATGGTGTCCCTCAGAAAGTGTGTGCCCTTCACCGCCACCCCTTCCATCCCTCCCACTCCTCCTCACATGTCACACTCACACGGATCACACAGAACTCACATGGAACGCGGTAACCGGGCAAAACATGGTGTCCCTCAGAAAGTGCCTGCCGCCAGCATCCCTGGCACCCAGAAAGTACCCGCCATCTGCCATGCACTTCACCACCACTCCATCCCTCCTTCCCACTCCTCCTCACATGTCACACTCGCACGGATCACGCAGAACTCACATGGAAGGCGGTAACCGGACGGAACATGGTTTCCCTCAGAAAGTACCTGCCGCCAGCATCCCTGGCATCTAGAAAGTACCCGCCATCTGATAAACACTTCACCACCACCCCTCCTTCCTTCCTCCCTGCTCCTCCCTTCTCCCCTCCTCCCTCTCCTCCACCTCCTTCCCCCACTCCCTCCAGCTCTCCACTCTCCTTCCTCATCCGGTCAGCCAGGCTGTCACACAGGAGGAGGGCGGCCAAGCCACCAGCGGAGCAGCCGGAGAGGAGGACGTGGGAGGCTGAGTGCATGCCGTGGTGAATTTGAAGGTGGGAAATTATCGAGTTGAACACGCGGCGACCCCGCATGTAGGCTTGGGGCTTCCCCTCCTGTGGGGGAGACGCAGAGGAGGCAGAGGAGGGTAAGAGGGGCGCAGATAGCAGCAGAGGTTCAGTGTGCAGAGTCGCAGGGAGCAGCACAGGAGGAAAGGAGGGCGGCCAGGCCACCAGCGGAGCAGCCGGAGAGGAGGACGTGGGAGGCTGAGCGCAAGCCGTGGTGGGCTTGAAGGTGGGAGAGAATGGCGTTGAACACGCGAGAACCACGCATGTAGATCTGCGGCTTCCCCTCCTGTAGGGGGGGTGGAGGGACAGAGGGGGATAGGGGGAAAGCGCACTACGGGTGAAGCATGAACATAAGAGGCTGAGCGCATGCCGTGGTGGGCTAGGAGGTGGGAGAGAATGGCGTTGAACACACGGCGACCTTGCATGTAGATCTGCGACTGTTGACAACATACCATACCTAGCAATCAACAGTCACTATGGTCGTCAATGTTGCCGATGAAAGAAGCCCCGTCAATCCTTGTTTTCGCATTCACTATGCTTCTTTGCATCACACCAACCAACCGCTCACGTCCATTCGCTCACGTCCATTCGCTCACATCCATTCGCTCACATCCATTCGCTCACACCAGTTGATCAAGTCACTCACATGGTCTTGGATCGGCTCGTCAACGTTGCCGATGAAAGAAGCCCCATCACAGTAGCGGACGTAGACCAGGTTCCAGTTGAAGAAGGCTGAAGGTTGGTTGGGATTGGGAGGGGAGGACAGAGGTGAAAGGAGAGAGATTCTAGTGAGAGTGGTGGATGAAGGAAGCGCCATCGCAGTAGCGGACGTAGACCAGGTTCCAGTTGAAGAAGTCTGCAAAGGGAGAGTTGGGGGGTAAGGGCGGGTGTTGGGGGGGGATCGCAGAGGTGGAAGCAGAGAGCTTTGAACGATGAAAGAAGCTCCATCACAGTAGCGGACGTAGACGAGGTTCCAGTTGAAGAAGACTGGAGGAGAGGGAGGGGAGGGGAAGGGTGGGAAGTGGGGAGCAGAGGTATATGGAGACGGGTCTCTATGAGGTGCACAGGGGGTGGGCATATGGAAGAAGGGAAAGAAGCCCCATCGCAGCAGCGGTTATAGACCAGTTCCAGTTGAAGAAAGAGGTCTGGCAAAGGGAGGGGGGAGGCGGGGAAACGGGAGCACAGAGGGTGGACAGATGGAAAAATGGGCTCTTGAAGAAGAAAGAAGGAGCAACAAGTCTTCCTCTTTTTCTAGTGGTGGAGAGATTTTGTTGGGGTGAGCGTGAGAGGAAGAAGGAAGCTCCATTCAACAAACCCCAACACAATCTCTCCACCACTAGAGAAAGGGGGGGGGGGGGAATGGGCACAATAGAGGGATGAAGAGACCCAGAAGGACTCACCGGGGTTTGTTGTTGGGCTGGACGAGAGCAGCCCTTGCAGCAGCGAGTGGCTCATCTTGGTGGAGGAGCGGGGAGGCGAGGAGACTCACCAGACAGACGTAGCTAGAGTTAGGTTGGGCCACATCAGAGGGACTCACCAGGGTGCGTATTACGGCTGGAGGAGAGCAGCCCTTGCAGCATCCAGTCGCCCATATTGGTGGAGGAGGGTGGAGGCGAGGAGACAGAGACGCAACTAGAGAGAAGATCTGATGCACTTACCGGGGTTTGTTTTACGGCTAGAGGACAGCAGCTCTTGCAGCAGCCAGTCACCCATCTTGGTGGAGGAGAAAGGAGGCGAGGGGGGAGGGGAGGAGGGGGGGATAGAGGGACTCACCAGGGTTGGTTGTCCTGCTGGAGGAGAGTAAGCCTTGCAGCAGCCAGTCACCCATCTTGGTGGAGGAGAAAGGAGGCGAGGGGGGAGGGGAGGAGGGGGGGATAGAGGGACTCACCAGGGTTGGTTGTCCTGCTGGAGGAGAGTAAGCCTTGCAGCAGCCAGTCACCCATCTTGGTGGAGGAACCGAAATTGGAGAAGCTGCGGTCGATGCAGTGCGCCGAGTCTTCGCACCACGCTCCTCCCTGCAGGGACGCAAAAGTGCAAGCAAGGCGAGAGTGTAAGTGGGAGTGCAGTGAGTGAGATGCCATCCTATTGCCCATCTGGGTGGAGGAACCAAAGTTGGAGAAGCTGCGGTCGATGCAGTGCGCTGAGTCCTCGCACCAAGCCCCGCCCTGCAGGGAGGGAAGGAAGTGTGTAAGCAAGGCGAGAGGGTATGTGGGAGTGCAGTGCACTACAGCCAATGCAGTGAGGTGCCATCCAGTCGCCAATCTTGGTGGAGCCAATGCAGTGAGGTGCCAGCCAGCCAGTCGCCCATCTGGGTGGAGGAACCGAAGTTAGAGAAGCTGTGGTCGATGCAGTGCGCTGCGTCCATGCACCACGCCCCGCCCTGCAGGGAGGTGTGTGCGTGTTCGTGAGAGAGTGTGCGTACGTACACACGTGCTTGCACTTAGAAGCATACCCCTCCTCCATGCATGGGGGCATGGATGTGTCAACCAATAATGGTACCTCATTCTTTCCCCAAGTTGCACACTGCACTGCACCGCACTGCACATAACCGCACATGACCACCCTAAACCACACAGCACCCACCTTAAGAGACATATTCCAGTTGTACCTTTCCATACACCTCTCAGGATGCCAGTTGAAGGCCAGAGGAAAGAGCTTCACCCTACTGTACCGCACCGCACTGGAATGTACATCACCGCACCGCACATGACCACTCTACTCCGCACAGCACCCACCCCAAGATAGAGAATCCACTTGTTCCTCCCCGTGCCCCTGCCAGAGTGCCAGTTGAAGGCCAAGGAAAAACATTGTGCAATGCACTGTACTCTACTGGACCGCACATCACCACCACCCTTCACCGCACAGCACCCACCTCAAGATAGAGAATCCACTTGTTCCTCCCCGTGCCCCTGCCAGGATGCCAGCTGAAGGCCGAAGGTGAGAATTCCACCCCACAGTACCGCACCTTACTGCCCTGTAATTTATTGCATCGCATATCACCATGCTACACCGCACAGCACCCACCTCAAGGTAGAGGATCCACTTGTTCCTCCCCGTGCCCCTGCCAGGATGCCAGTTGAAGGCCGGAGGGGAGCCGTCCAGGCAGACTGGATGGCCGGGGGGGGCGCAGAGGGGCGCAGAGGCGTGCAGAGGGATGCATAAGGGTGTATAGAGAAGGGATGCAAAGGGGTGCAGAGGGGTTCAGAGGCCAGGGAGAACCATGAGCTTGTGCTGCAGCACCGGGATCATTCTAAGCATTCACTACAGTCAGCCCCGCTAATAGCAGCAGCCTAGCCTTCCAAGCTGTTTGTCCCCTCATTATACTGTAGCACCATTCCTCTTCAGAGACTGCACCTACCAACCTATCTGCACCTACCAACCTATCTGCACCTACCAACCTATCTGCACCTACCAACCTATCTGCACCTACCAACCTATCTGCACCTACCAACCTATCTGCACCTACCAACCTATCTGCACTGCACCTACCAACCTATCTGCACCTACCAACCTATCTGCACCTACCAACCTATCTGCACCTACCAACCTATCTGCACCTACCAACCTATCTGCACCTACCAACCTATCTGCACCTACCAACCTATCTGCACCTACCAACCTATCTGCACCTACCAACCTATCTGCACCTACCAACCTATCTGCACCTACCAACCTATCTGCACCTACCAACCTATCTGCACCTACCAACCTATCTGCACCTACCAACCTATCTGCACCTACCAACCTATCTGCACCTACCAACCTATCTGCACCTACCAACCTATCTGCACCTACCAACCTATCTGCACCTACCAACCTATCTGCACCTACCAACCTATCTGCACCTACCAACCTATCTGCACTGCACCTACCAACCTATCTGCACCTACCTACCTATCTGCACCTACCAACCTATCTGCACCTACCAACCTATCTGCACCTACCAACCTATCTGCACCTACCAACCTATCTGCACCTACCAACCTATCTGCACCTACCAACCTATCTGCACCTACCAACCTATCTGCACCTACCAACCTATCTGCACCTACCAACCTATCTGCACCTACCAACCTATCTGCACCTACCTACCTATCTGCACCGGGATCGATCGAAGCATTCACTACAATCAGACCCGCTAATAGCAGCCTAGCCTTCGAGGCTGTACGTCCTTCCTCCCACCCGAGCGGTTGTAGCACCAATTCCACCTACCTGCACCGGGATCAATAGAAGCATTCCCTATAGTCAGCCCCGCTAGTAGCAGCCTAGCCCTCTCCAGGCAGTACGACCATAGCACCTACCTGCACCGGGATCACTAGAAGCATTCACTATAGTCAGCCCCGCTAGCAGACTCTCCTGCCCTTCCTCCGCGTCTGCCGCCACGTCAGCAGCCGAAACGACTGGCGCGGGAGGGGCTCCTGCCACGTCAGCAGGTGAAATGACTGGAGCGGAAGAAAGAAGTACGAGCGTTGCTGCTGATTCTTGTGTCGCTGCTGGTGGTGGCGGTGGTGGTTCTTGTAAGGTCGCTTGTGCTGCTGCTGCTGTCTCTTCTTTCGGAGGAGGAGGAGGAGAGAGAGGAGGAGAAATTAGAGGAGAAGGAGGAGGAGGAGGAGGAGAAAGAAGAGGAGCAGGAGGCGGAGGAGAAACAGAAGGAGGAGGAGAAAGGGGAGGAGAAGGAGGGGGAGGGGAAACAGAAGGAGGAGGAGAAAGGAGAGGAACAGGCGGAGGAAAGACGGGAGGGGAAGGAGGCGGAGGGGAAAGGGGGGGAGGAAGTGGCGGGGAAAGGGGGGGAGGAAGCGGAGGGGAAAGGGGGGAAGGAAGGGGCGGGGAAGGCGGAGGAGAATGGGAGGCTGCGAGGGTAGATGAGGGAGAGTATTCTATGTGGGAGGCACTACTCGCACTATCAGAACCACTCCCTTTAGCACCAGCACCACCAGCATCAGCAGCAGCAGAATCTGTAACAGCAGAATCTGAAACAGAGAGAAGAGGATCATGTGCCATTTGCTGCGGTTTGGATCGGTACAGAGGGTTCATGTTCACCCCGATAGCGAGCGCGAATGCGGCAAGATACGCCAACGCTGCCACCCTTCCGCGCCACCTCCCGCCGCCCGCCGCTCTGCTTGCGACGTCTGGCCGCGCCATTGCTACTACTAGCGCCGCTCAGCTGCTGATGCTGCTATCTTAAGTCTTTGTGACCTAGTAAGTCATCTGGTAGGTCATCTGCTAGCGACGTCTGGCCGCGCCATTGCTACAACTAGCTAGCACCTCCCCGCTGCTGCTGGTGTTGCTGCTGCTGTTGCACTGGTTATTTTGAAGAGTTTTGTGGCTTAGTGAGTCATCTAATAGCGACGTCTGGTCGCGCCATATTGCTACTTACGCCTCTTCAGAGGCTGTGTGGCTACGGGCGAATATAATATCTAGTCGATTTAGCAGTCATCAGTCAGTAAATGCCTCGTCAGCCGCCGCTCTTGCTGCTGCTGCTGCTACGGGCGAATGCCTAATCAGCGGCAGGAGATTGAACCACGCTGCGAGTTTTCGCCGCCGCCCCTTCCCCCAGCTTGCCGTCTCGTGACGCGCGCCGTTGACAAATTGGGTCGCTACTTTCCTCCCGACAGGCGAGAAAGCGTGACATAACGACAGGCGCTCAGTCACGGCATCCGCGACGCCACTGCTGCCATGATATGTCCCATGAGCTCTAAACAATCAAGCCATGGCTGCTACTTGCCGCCCCGCCATTGCTAGTGCGCCAGCCAGCATAATTATTTAGGTTTATACATTGTTTACCTGCTGCAACGTCAAGCCTCGATGGCGCAGTCGGTAGCGCGTAGGTCTCATAGCATTCCGACTCCTCACTTGTGAGGCGGTAGCCATCCTAAGGTCGTGAGTTCGATCCTCACTCGGGGCAAACTTTTGATCTCTCTCCGTTTGCTTCATGGGAAGTAGTCTTTTCCAATATACATTTTTGGGATTGACTCTGAATAATTTCGCGTCATCCTGCATACCGCGTACAGCGCTGTTTTCGCGATCATCCATTTCGTTACCACCCTTGACTTTCTCGCCCTCGCTACCCTCCATGTAATCTACGCCCTGCGTTTCTGTCTGACGTTTCGTTTCGCCTGGGCCCTTCATCCTGGAATTTCACTAACCTCTCAGATGAGCGACTGTATACACACACGGAACAAACGAGGCCAACCAATCCCCAAGGGACGTCGTCGGCGCGCGAAATGAACCAAGGTATCACCACCGTAGACACTCATAGCCATCAACTTCGCTCAGCACTTCGCCAAAATCCCCACTTTCGCACAGGGTCACAATGAGTGTATTTCTGAGTAACCAGATGGTGGCGAAATATGCGGATACACCCCAAGCGTGTGGACGAGATTATCCTGTCGCTTACGGGAAAGCGAAGCCGGGCCAATCAGGTGAACTGTTTTCCTGGTACTGTTCGTGAACGAGGTCAGACACATACTCCCTGGTGTTCCTTCACGGTGTGAAACGTGAGTTGCGCTTGGGGGATCAAAGCGCCAACCTGATTTGCTGGTTGTACCAGTGTAGGCTTCAGTTCAACTGTACCAACTAGCACAGTTCAATCTCGCCAAAGCCGCAACGAGGAGGAGCATATTGCGACGCACTTAGGTAGTTTGTTTTTATTTTGTACCCTCCCGGAAGGGGTGCCCCGAAATGTACAGAGCCGCCACATAATCGCAAAACAGTTTGTGGTGGATTCGGGTCACTCTTTTAGTGGTTGGTGGATTGTCTTCCAATCTTCCTCCAACTGCCAATCGCAACCGCCTTCTTGTCTCGTCTCGTCTCGTCTCGTCTCGTCTCGTGTTCCTCCTCTGTCCTCTCTTTCAGCGCTTCTCATCAATCGAGGAGTTTAATTCTTTCACTCGTTCACTCACCTCAAGATTCGCCAGTTCCATCACTTCGACCCAGAAGTACTGGCGGACCTTCAAGCATCAGCGTTCGTACATCCTTCCCTTACTAATATGGTTCATAAGGTTTCACCTGTAGTAGCTTCATAAGGTACAATTGGCACTGTTCGAATTGACGCTTTCAGCTGTACCTGAGGTACCAGGGCGTACATAACCAGTTGTAACGCGTGCGGCCGTACACGAAGCGTACGCAACCGCTGCGCCTCGCAAGTCCCCTCGTTTTGGCGACTTTTGAGTCGACTCAAAAGTCACCTCATCCGCTGCGCGTCGCAAGATCCCCCGTTGCGTTCTCAATTTTGGGATGTAGCGGAGCGTATCGTGGTCCCGTTAATACACAGAGCTGTATCGTAACCTCCACTGATAGGTTTTCACTTCGAGTACACATTGGGTATTTTACCGTGCGGGGTACTTTTCTCGCGGGTGCGGATTTTGTGCACTATGTCGCCATTAGAGCAACAACAACAGGCGTACGAAAGGTCGTCGTACCCGTCGTTCGAGTTACCGCAAAAGCATCAGTTTCGCGAGTCGTCGCCGTCGCCGACGTTCTCGGCATTCGAGTCGAACCATGACGAGTTAACGTCAAAATTCGGGTCCGACTTAAAACCGACAGCAGCAGCTGCGTCGAACGAAATGGCGGCGGCAGCGCGCGGCGACGCAACAACAGCAGCAGCAGCGCGAGAGCCGCCGTCATGTGCGGCGACGGTGGGCATCTGGTCGATGAACGTGGTGGGGTCGGTGGGGATCATCATGGTGAACAAGCAAGTCATGTCCGGATACGGCTTTGTCTTCGGTAAGAGTTGCTTCGTTATTCGATGAGCCATGGATGATTACGTGGCTAGCGCGTCTCGTGGTGTGGGTGGGGATCATAATGGTCAACAAGCAAAGTCATGTCCGGATACGGCTTTGTATTCGGTAAGATGGGGAATATAATTGCCACCCTCTCCCCCTTCCCCCCTCTCCTCCCCCAGTATCAACGCTAACAGGAATGCACTTCGCCCTCACAGCCCTGACGGGGGTCGCATCAGCATGCGCGGGGCTGGTCCCCAGGCAGCTCTCCGTGCCCCTGCCCGTGCTGCTGGGCTTCGCTCTGCTGGGCAACGCCAGTCTCGTCGCCACCAACCTCTCGCTCCTCCTCAACTCAGTTGGCTTCTACCAGGTGGGCCCCTCTCCCTTCCTTCCCCATCAACTCTCTCTCTCTCTCTGCTCGCTTCGGCTGGGCTGGGTTGGGTTGCCTGGGCTGGGCTGGGCTGGGGTGAGGCGGGGTGGTGTTGGGCTGGGTGGGGCGGGGCTGGTCCCCAGGCAGCTCTCCGTGCCCCTGGGGGTGCTGCTGTGCTTCGCTCTGCTGGGCAACGCCAGCCTCGTCGCCACCAACCTCTCGCTACTTCTGAACTCCGTTGGGTTTTATCAGGTGGGGCCCTCTCCCTTCCTTCCGCACCCCCTCTCCCTTCCCCACCTGCTCTCCCTGTCCTGGGCTTCGCTCTGCTGGGCAACGCCAGCCCCGTCGCCACCAACCTCTCCCTGCTCCTCAACTCCGTCGGATTCTACCAGGTGGGCTTGTAACGAGTCATGCTGCTGTTCGGCTTGTAACGACTCACACTGCTGTTCGGCTTGTAACGAGTCACACTGCTCAGCTGCGACATGTGGTGATGTTGCTCATGCTGTGCCTGGCTGGTCTAGGCCCCATCAACTTCTCTCACTCTCATCCCCCCCTTCACCTCACCGCCTCTCATTTTCCCTCACTTCTCTCTTACTCCCCTCCTCCTCTCATATTCCCCCTCCCCTGCCACAACCCTCTCCTGCCACACCCCCTCCGATCTCACCCGTAGATCTCCAAGGTCAGCATCATCCCGACCGTCTGTTTCTTCGAAGCTGTCTTCAAGGGTCGAACGTTCACCCCGCGCGTGAAAGCAGCCGTGGCAGTCGTCATGCTGGGCGTGGCTCTCTGCACTGTCTCTGAGATCCATGTCAACCCACTTGGACTGGCTGTGGCTGCTTTTGCCGTGCTCTGCTCTGCCATGCACATGATGGTACGATGCCTTGCTACGTTGTTATGGTGTGATACTTGAGTCGGCTCAAAGAATTGGTGGTGATGCTGGGCGTGGCTCTCTGCACTGTCTCTGAGATCCATGTCAACCCACTTGGGCTGGCTGTGGCTGCCTTTGCCGTGCTCTGCTCTGCCATGCACATGATGGTACGGTTTGATAATCGAAGCACAGCAGCACCCCGCTCAAGAATTGCCATCCTTTCTTTTCCGCATGCTTACTTCTCCCCATACTCCCCTTCTCCCCATGCTCTCAGCTGATTGGTCTACTCCAAGAAAGATACGCCATTGGCTCGTTCGATCTGCTCAGCCAATCAGCGCCTCTCCAGGCTTCATGCTGCTCTTTCCTTCCAGCCAACATTGCAATTCTTTCACCCCATGCTCTCCTCCCCATTCTCTCCTTCTCCCCGTGCTTATCTCTTTCAGCTGATTGGTTTACTCCAAGAAAGGTACTCCATTGGCTCCTTCGATCTCCTCAGCCAATCAGCGCCTCTCCAGGCCTTCATGCTGCTTCTCGTCGGCCCTTCTCTCGACCTCTTTCTCACCTCCCGCTCTCTTCTCGACTACCACTACCAGCCCAATGCGATTGTGAGTGAACACGACCTGGTCCAGGTGATTGTCTCGGCCTGGTTACATGCCTCTACCTCTCCCTCAACCTCCTCCTCACCTCCCGCTCTCTTCTCGACTACCACTACCAGCCCAATGCGATTGTGAGTGAACACGACCTGGTCCAGGTGATTGTCTCGGCCTGGTTACATGCCTCTACCTCTCCCTCAACCTCCTCCTCACCTCCCGCTCTCTTCTCGACTACCACTACCAGCCCAATGCGATTGTGAGTGAACACGACCTGGTCCAGGTGATTGTCTCGGCCTGGTTACATGCCTCTACCTCTCCCTCAACCTCCTCCTCACCTCCCGCTCTCTTCTCGACTACCACTACCAGCCCAATGCGATTGTGAGTGAACACGACCTGGTCCAGGTGATTGTCTCGGCCTGGTTACATGCCTCTACCTCTCCCTCAACCTCCTCCTCACCTCCCGCTCTCTTCTCGACTACCACTACCAGCCTTATGCAATTGTGAGTTGACCAACCCTCCTTGTGAATGAGCATATTTCAAGCTGCATGCTGCTCCCCATCGGTCCTTCAGTGTCCCTCATCCCCCCCCCTCCCCTCATCCCCCCCTCCTCCTCTTTGACTTACATTACCAGCCACATGCAATTGTTGTGAGTTAATGGTTCAACCATGCTGATCCATCCATGCATATTCCCTTTTCCATCTCAGGTCTTCATAACTCTCTCCTGCTGCTTACCCGTGTTCTGCAATCTCAGCGCCTACCTTTGCATCAAGAAGTCTCCCCTCACTACTTCCCCCACTTTCCTTCTCTATGTTCTGTCATCCCTTTTCCATCTCAGGTCTTCATAATCCTCTCCTGCTGCCTAGCAGTGGTCTGCAATCTCAGCGCCTACCTTTGCATCGGAAAATTCTCCGCTTCAACTTACCAAGTCCTAGGCCACATGAAGACCGTGCTAGTCCTTGTGTTGGGAGTGGTGCTATTTGACTCTTCCATCTCCCTTAAAGGCATCCTCGGTATGTGTATAGCGGTCACAGGGATGGTTATGTACGGCCATGCTACTGCCACTCAGGCTAGTGCTTCAGGAGCAGGAGGGGGAGGTGGAGGCACAGTGGTGACGGGAATAAAAGAGGGGCGAGGAAGGGGAGAAGCAGGCTTGGCAGGGCGGGAGGAGAGTGAGAGGGAAGAAATTCCTCTACTCAGTATTGTGGTTGGGTCAGAGGATGAGGATGAGGAAGAGGAAGCGGAAGAGGAGGATGAGCGAGACGGTGAGAAGGGGTTACCAGGGAAGCAGAGTATCGATGATTATAGAGCAGGTGGGTTCAAGGACGGGACAAGAAGGGCAGAGGAGGGGGAGGATTTTGTGCAAGGAGGCAGAGACGCTCATTCCAAACCAAGCTCAGAGGGCATCTGTCAGGGGGGCTCCAAGACCCGAGGGGTGGATTGTCTGACATCTCAAAAAACGATCCAAAGACCAGAGTTTCCGTCAGTCGGCCTCGTGGTGTTACCGCATCCAGAAAGGTCGCTGGATTTGAGAATACAGCATCCGAGAATGCAGGAGCTTATGCTTACTACGGCGTGGAAAGGGGAGGGAGGGAGGGGCCTGTTGCGGGAATCGTCGAGTTTCTCCGAAGGATCGGTTGTTTCTGAAGGGTCGGTTCTCTCAGAGGAGTCGAGTTTTTCAGAAGAATGCAGGAGCTGATGCTCACGACGGCAGGGAGAGGGGGAGAGGGAGGGAGGGAGGGAGGGAGGGAGGGGCCTGTTGAGGAAGCTGCTCCGAAGGATCTGTTGTTTCTGAAGGGTCGGTTCTGTCGGATGAGTCGAGCTTTTCAGAAGAATGCTCACGACGGACGGCAGGGAGAGGAGGGGAACCCAGGGAGGGGCCTGTTGTTGAGGGAATCGTTTTTTCGTGCATCTCTGAGTCATCGTCAGGGTGTCTCCGAGTCGAATTCGAGCTTATCTGGGTATTCGAGCTTCTCCGAAGGATCTCTTGTTTCTGAAGGATCGGTTCTCTCAGAGGAGTCGAGCTTTTCAGAAGGTTCGATGCTAGTTGGTGAGAGAAGGGATGAGTTTGATTTGGTGGGAGAGAGCAGGCTCACTGCTGATGGGGTTGGTGGGGTAGTGAAACAACAGTACAAGCTGTGCAATTATTCATTCATTTTTTTTTCCAGACAGAGTAACTCTACTTGCAAACAGCAGCAATAGAGCTAGAACTTGGAAGCAAGAATATGCATTTGTTGGGAATGGAAACAGGGGCAAGGAAAGCTGGACTGGACAGTGTCCTGGCGGAAACAGATTTTCCTGGAGCAGTTACAGAACGTTTGATGCAAACGAATGAATTACCGTAACATTCAAACAAAGAACAAGAGATTCTAGTGAGTCCGAATAAAAAACTAATTGTTCTTAACGGTACGAGTATGTCCAGCTGTTCCACACGTGATAAATAGCAGCTTCGCCGCCTGTTCTGTCAGAGAATGCGCCCCGCTCTACGTGTTCGTCCGTCCAATCTTCGTCTGTACGTCTGCTCGATTGGTCATGTCGTGGGCGGGAGAATTGTTCTGAAATTTCTGTTGCGAAATGACCTCAACCAATCTCATGTGGTTTGCCGTCACTGAAAATAGCGAGCAGTCGACTCTGATTTTTTTTCTGGATGAGTTTTTCCCCCCTTTAGCCAAAGTCGGCCTAGCTGAAACGTCTGGTCATGTATCAACGATAGCTGATTGGCTCTCGGCGGATGCTGTCCTTTCCAGGGACAGATTTACGGTCACATACTGTAGTTGCACTGCCCATATGATGTTTACAACATGGGCACGCAACTATCCAACCCACATCCCTTGCAACTACACGTTGTTCTAGAGACTTCACAGAACAGAATGGACTAGCGCTACCAGTTTCTTTTACAACAGAATGGACTAGCGCTACCAGCGCAGCGAGCCAATTTCCAGATAGCCTATTTTTCTAATGTATTCAGGATAGCCGCCCTACTGGCGCTAACTTAGTATTCTGCTGGGAGAGTGACCGAAGCCTCACCTTGGAGAGTTTTGAAACGGTTCTGCATGTTTTAGAATTCTTAAGTACGTTGCAGCGCGGTTTGTGTTCGAATGGTTGCACAGCATAATGTTCGATGTGGTGACTGAGCATACTCCTCCTACCGGACTATTCAGGATGTCTGAATCGATCGACGCCTGCGTCGATCTACTACTTAGTATCTCGTCCTGGCTGAAGTCTTCTGAAACTAGGCTTTTTTTCCCCCTGATTTCTGTCACAGCCGATTCAGCTAGTAATTCCGTTTCTGACGATGGAAGAAGTGACGGATGAGCAGTTCCGGGAGGTCGTTCTGGAGAATCCGCGTCCAGCCATTGTCGTCTTCTACAACCCAAGGATCACCTCAAGCGTATCGACGGCGAACTTAGTGGCAGAGCTCAGCAAGCGATTCTCGGACAAACTGGCATTCTACAAGGTGGATATTCACACGTATGATGCCTATGCCGACCGGTACGCTGGCAGCGACGAGAGTTCCGCTGTGGTCCTTTTCAAAAACGGCGAGGCAGTTAAGAAGGTCACCAGTGCACCCACGATGCCTGATGCTGGAACGTTCGGTAATGAAGCTGCCGTCACGGCGTTTGTGGGCACCGTCGCCCGCGACACTTCAGATCTGTGTTCCCACCCAGCATCGGCGGCAGCGGACGCCTGAGCCCGTGTGTCACTCTTGCTTATTACGGTACATGTTATCGTGTTGATCGCAGACGAAATTTTGCGAGATTTGAAATCGACCATTTTGCGAGATCTGAAATCGACCATTTTGCGAGATTTGAAATCGACCATTTTGCGAGATTTGAAATCGACCTTGGTTGGAACTTGGGAGTTACCTGTCTGGACTGGACTAAGGATGTGTGATGGCCATTGCACTGGCAAGAATGAGGGTGCTGCAAATTGTTGCGGTAGATAGAAGAGGATGCTTTTGCCTCCAATACACAGTAAATCTACTAAATATACACCCTCAGAACCATTTACGCGCACTCACTAGGCCGGTACTATACAAGCATAGCACTTAAAAAACGCCCCACTCTTCTAGGCCACCTATGAAGGTCACTTTTGAAGACCTATCGTAGGTTCAAGCATCACAATCCAAGAAGGGGCCTCTTTTCAACCCCCTACACCCCTAGAAACAAGACAAGCACGGGTTAATGCTGCTCCTGCTCCTCAAGAAAAATGTGGCACCACACCACATGTTCCTTCTGCAACCCTCTGCTGCCGATTTGGGGACAGCATGGGGGACAGGAGGGGACAGGAGGGGACAGACAATGATGATGCCTTTGGCTCAGAAAAGGCTACCCCCAAATAGCAAGTCTGTAGACCACAAAAGGCCACCCTAGGAACCCTAGAAACAATATGCCTGATACAAACAAGCACGGCTTCAATGCTCCTGCTCCTCAAGAAAAAAGTGGCACCACGGATTGCTCCTGCAACCCTCTGCTGCCTATGAGGAGCGGAGGGGACAGGAGGGGACAGACATGGATGCTGCTGCTGCACACGCACAGGAGCTGAGAGCTTAGATACGGCCGTCAGAGGCAGTGAAAGCATGAGGGGCAAGAAGGGGATTTAGACCGGGCTGGTGCAATCTGAAGCTGCTAATGAGGAGCGGAGGGGACAGCTGCGGATGCCACTGCTCCACGCTGCACTGAGGAGCCAAGGGAGAAGAGTGAGGAGGCTGACGAAGTAAGGTCGCAAGGGGGTAAGTGGACTATAGAGGGGATAGAGGGGATTCCGAGCTGGATTCTGCAATCCTTAGCTGCCAATGAGGAGCAATGGGGAGAGGAGGGGACAGACACGGATGCTACTGCTGCACGCACTGAGGAGCTGAGAGCCTTGATAAGGCCGTCAGAGGCAGTGAGATGAGAAGCACGCGCCGGGGGGATTAGAAACTGCTTGTGCAGCCCGAAGAGTGCGGAGCCAAGGGGTGGAAGGTGGTTGTGGTTGTTGCGCTGGCGAAAATACGAATTTCTGGCAGCGTGGATAGGGAAGTTACGAGGCCCTCTAAAGACGACTTTTGAGGTGCCTTAAAAGGGGAGGTTGCATTGCAGGAGGGGCAGAGGAGCAGGGAGGAAAGAAGGTGGTGCTCATTCCTCTCTCGTCATCTCTACTCCCAAGAAAACAACTCGTGCGGATGCCAACTGTGCTGTAACACCTAAGATAATGCGTTACAGTGCTCCTGCTGCTGCTGCTGCTGCTGCTGCTGCTGCTGCTGCTGCTGCTGACCTCCTCTTCCTCCTCCTCCTCCTCTGCTCCCCCCGCCCCCCCTCCCGCGCCTCTCCCGTGACCCAGCAGCGCCGCGTTGCGGTCCGGCATGTCTGGCATCGCCCTGCTCCCCCTCTCCCCCCCACCCTTCCCCCGACCCCCCTCCGGCGCCTCCCCCAGCGGCGCCGCGTTGTGCCCGTTGCGCCGCATGTCCGGTGCCGCCCTCGCAGGACCGATATCGGACCGCGTGGTGAAACCCATCGCGCCGCGACCGAGACCGGCGACATACTTAGGAGGCGGTAGTTGATTGACGTTGAGCGTCGAGCGCGGAACCGGGGGGTGAGGCGCGCCTCCGGGCAGAGAAAAGTCTGGTGGACGGGTCAGGTCCTGAAGCGGAATCGAGCGCTGCGTGGATCGCCGCGCCGCGACCCGAACACGGATGCTAGCGGCACGGTATCGTCGGAGAGCAGGCGCGATTCGAAAAGGAGGTGTTGTCGGGAAGTGGTGGCCGGGCCGCCTTTCGAGGCCGGTAGGTCTTTAATATCCGCGACTCGCGCGGATTCCGGGAGATGGAGGGAGAGTGTGGCGCCTCCTAGGGTTCGCACGAAGAGATGCATGTCGACTGCTGGTACTACGAGTGGTGCTAGAGGTGCAGCTGCTGCTGCTGGTGATGCTGTTGGTGCTGGCTGCTGGTGTGCTCCTGCGGGTAACTGATTTCTGAAGATTCCTGAGAAAAGCGGGAAAACGGGGAAAGCGAGGAAGGAGAAACATAGATAGGTACAGCTGGGATAGAGCACGTCGGAAGGGAAGAGCGAGACGCGAAGGCGGGATGCTTATATTGAAATTCGTAGGAGGGATAATGGAAAACGGGAGGGGTATACGGACACGCAAATGGTAGTTGAAAATCTGAAGGCAAGCTAGAAACAACAGGTAATTGATAATAACACGCAACCGTAGGTTGTTCAGTGAATCGAATCCCTAGCGCTAACCCGAACGCTCCACGTTCTAAAAAGAGAGTCGTGCTGAAAAGACGGCAGTATTTCCGTGAAATGCGCTGGCAGAAGTAACAGTGTGAGTGGTTGCCCTAAGAGGAAATGGTTCTAGAACTGCTGGAGGTAATAATCGACTATGTAGCATGAATACTCTAATCCGTGGGTGAGAGTATTCACGCTACAGAGTTTCACTTTCGTTGCTAGTCTGGGTAACGACTACACTCTAAATAAACCTTTGCTAAACGGGAAAACCAGTGTTTCTGGCCAAGCCCACTCTACTGTACTTCGTTGGTTCGACTTTACGAGGACATCAAGAGCTGACAAATGCAACTCTATAGCGCGGTCGAGTGTGTTCGAAACCCTGGGATTTTCGGCTGGAGCTTCGTTTTCTTGGCGGCTGCGATTCCACCATCGACGAACGCGAACCAATCAACGGTGCGTGTCACCCTCGGAGCCGCAGCATGTCTCGCACAACCGTCGATTACATTCGCTCAAACACAATCTCGATCGCAGCCACAATCATCGACATTATTAGGCTCAGGCCAGTAGGAGCGACATCGCTGGAAACCTTTAGTCTAGTCACGGATACGCCTTAGTGTGGTCGTTCAGGCAAACAATAATCTACACGGTGCATCGCGGACGGGGTAATCTTGCAAGAAACGTGTTCTCCCTTTTTAATCTCGGCCGTCGGTAGACATGAAACGATCATGTGAATCCAGCTATCGGGGAGAACCCAGCAATTTCCGTGCCGGTGAGGGTGATAGTAACGGAAGTAGCAGGGTAGCACCCGGCGAGAGTGGCAATATCGGGAGTACTAGTGCTACAGTTCCTCCAGAAACCGATTCTGTAACACCAGATGTAACAACCGATTCTGACCCTGTAACCGTATCGACTGACAATGTAACACGATCATGTGATGATGTAACGCCAGCGACAACACCACGTGGGAATGACGCCACGTCAGCAAGCAGCAACGGTGCCGCTGCACCCGAATCACGGCAGGGAGCAGAATCAGGGCAGGTTTCGGATCCAGTAAAGGGAGCGGAAGCAGGTAACAAAGCGGAATTAAGGAAGGAAGCGGAACCAGAGAAGGGAGCAGATTCAGCGAAGGTACCTGAAAGCCCTTCCCCCGTGGGATTCGACAGCGCCACGGGCGTGTGGCTGCTGACGTCAGAGGGCGAGACGCTCCAGATGGACAGACGCGTCGCGGCTTTCATCCCCTTCCTCTGGCAGGCCATGGCCCAAAAGTCATCTCAGGCCATGGCTCAAACTCAAAAGTCCACCCTAGCCGTGGCTCAACAATCACCCCTAGCTATGGCTCGAGTCAAGTCGGAAAAAGGACCTTCTGACGAGCCAGAGAATGTTAAGTGCTTGGAGCGGGAGCGGTTGGGAGCAGCGGTGCTGCAGCTGGTGGTGGAGTACTGCCGCTACCACAGACTTGCCCGGGCGCTCTGACAAGTGAGAATGTGGAGGCTGCTTGGTGTGGTGTGTGTTCCTTGAGTTGAGTGTTTCTGAGGGGATTTCGGGCTGATTGTCAGTGCAGGCAGGTCAGTGTCACAGCTAGTGTCAGCAGCGGTGCTGCAGATGGTGGTGAAGTACTGCCGCTACCACAGACTTGCCCGGCCGGTCGGACAAGGTGAGAGTGAGATTGAGTGTAAGATTGAGTGAATGCGGCTGACTGGCAGCACCTAGCAGCGCACTCCGACAACCTAAAAGCCCCCTCTCCTCATCCTTCCCCCAACCATCACCCCCCTCCCCTCCTCCCCCGACAGCTTCAAAGGAGCGGAGTTTTTCCGATGAAAATTTGGTGCGTGTGGACCCGCGGAGGTTATGTGAGCCCAAAGCCCCCTCTCCCCATCCTCCCTTCCCCCCTCAGCTCAGTCCGTCACCCCTCCCTCCCCTCTACCCTCCTCCCCTCCTCATGCCTCTCCCCTAAAAGTCCGGAGGTTTTTTTACAAGAAGTTCGTGCGTGTGGATCCGCTGAGGAGGCTGTGCGTACCCACTCCCTTTTCCCATCACCCCCTTCCGTTTCCCTATCCTCCCCACCTCTCCCTCCCCTTCTACAGGAATGCTCGATGCGAAGTTCGTGCGAGTAGATACGCGGAGGCTGTGAGTACTCACTCCCTTTCCCTATCCTCCCGACCTCTCCCTCTTCATGTACAGGAACAAAGGTTGTTCACTCACTCCTACCGCATTCTTCCTGAAGACGTTCCGTATCGAATTCTGAAAATCTTCAATGTATCATCCGTTTCCCAAAATTTCCCCTCTTCACTCCGTTTTATCCCCCCCACGGAGCATGGCAGAGGCAGTGGGAGACTCGTTCTTTGACAGGCACGGTGTAGCCCTTGTCGACTGTAAACACCCAGGTAATCCCACTTGCACATGCTCATGACTTTCCCCACTTCGCTCCGTTTTTTCCCCCCACAGACCATGGCAGAGGCAGTGGGAGACTGATTCTGACATGCAGTGTAATACTTGTTGACTGTAAACACCCCTGTAATCCCACCTGTAATACATGATTATACCGTAGTATGCGCGTCAGCATGCCACTCTGTCTTGCAAATTGCATGTATGGTAGTGTAGATAAAATTTTAAACAATAGGGTACATGAGTTGGGGGGGGGGGGGGGGGGGGTACCACAACGGTGTCAAATGTTGAACATTGATATGATAGGCTATAATGAGTTGCACTCTAGGGGGTACAGCTTCTAGGGTTGCTCATTTGTACCCCATTCGTTTCTATTCCAATCATTCCGTTGTTCGCTAACTTTAAGATGGTATCATGAGTAGGTGTCGATCCTCTCGCATAGCCTAGCCTAGCTCGCGCCCTAGCGCCCTCCGCGCCTTTGCGCCCTAGCACACTCCGCGCCCTCCGCGCCCTCCGCGCCCTTGCGCCCTAGCACCCTCCGCGCCCTCCGCGCCCTCCGCGCCTTAGCCACCGCGCCCTCCGCGCCATTTCCGCGCCTTAGCGCCCTCCTCCTCCGCGCGTTAGCGCCCTCCGCGCCCCTAGCCTGCGCCCCTAGCCCATCGCCCAGGCCCACGCCCTAGCCCGTCGCCCAGGCGCCCGCCCTAGCCCGTCGCCCAGGCGCCCGCCCTAGCCCGTCGCCCAGGCGCCCGCCCTAGCCCGTCGCCCAGGCGCCCGCCCTAGCCCGTCGCCCAGGCGCCCGCCCTAGCCCGTCGCCCAGGCGCCCGCCCTAGCCCGTCGCCCAGGCGCCCACCCCAGCCCGTCGCCCAGGCGCCCGCCCCAGCCCGTCGCCCAGGCGCCCGCCCTAGCCCGTCGCCCAGGCGCCCGCCCTAGCCCGTCGCCCAGGCGCCCACCCCAGCCCGTCCCCCAGGCGCCCGACCCAGCCCGTCGCCCAGGCGCCCGCCCTAGCCCGTCGCCCAGGCGCCCGCCCTAGCCCGTCGCCCAGGCCTGCGCCCTAGCCCGTCGCCCAGGCCTGCGCCCTAGCCCGTCGCCCAGGCGCCCGTCCTAGCCCGTCGCCCAGGCCTGCGCCCTAGCCCGTCGCCCAGGCGCCCGTCCTAGCCCGTCGCCCAGGCGCCCGTCCTAGCCCGTCGCCCAGGCGCCCTCCCTGGCTCGTCACCCCAGCCCCGCAGGCAGCGCGCCACGCGGGTAGCGCGCCCCGCGGGTAGCGCGCCCCGCAGGAGGCGCGCCCCGCGGGTAGCGCGCCCCGCAGGCAGCACACCCTGCAGGCGGCGCGCCCCGGGGTGCTTTAGTGCCAGAAAATAAATAAATAAATTAAACCCTAAAAAAAAAAAAAAAAAAAAAAAAAAGGGGTTCACAGTGGGGGCCTGCTACTGTCGCCCGCGTTCCTGCTTGCCGGACGACCTGCACAGTTGCCTACATCCCGCAGCCGTCAGTACTGCAGCCCCTACTGTCGCACGTACTTTCCACTGCTAGTGGCTCTACTAGCGGCAGCCGACAGCCGCACTTACGGTCTCTAGCCCCGGCCGTTCCTACCTCCAGCCAGCCCTAGCTCGCCGCTTCTAGCTCCAGCCGTTCTCGCTCCAGCCGTTCTCGCTCCTCGCTCGTAGCTCAGTTTGCTCCGTGCTCCGGCCGTTCCTCGCCTAGTTTCACCTGGCGCTCCTAGCTTAGTTCGCTCCGTGCTCCAGCAGTTACTCGCCTGGTTTCACCTTGCGCTCCTAGTTGTTCTCGTTTTTCACAGCAGCCTGTCGCTCCTGTCGCTCCTAGCCTGCCGCTCCTGCACCCCGCTAGCTTTTATCATGGAGTCCGCTAGGGTTCTCCAGCAGCAGGGACAGCAGCAGCGGCCTT